GCCGAGAAGGCATTCAAAGAATTAAAGGATGCATTGTGTGTGGCATCGTCTTTATATACGCCGGATATGCGGAAACCTTTTGAAATTAATACAGACGCCTCATTAATAGGTATTGGAGCGTGTTTACTGCAACGAGATGGATATGAGAAAGGTAGACCTATAACGTTTGCTAGCCAAAAATTAACTAGTACTCAGTCCAAATGAAGTACCATAGAAAAAGAAGCATATGCAATTATTTGGGCATTAAACAAATTCGAAACTTCGACATATGGAAACAAAATTTTATTGCATACAGACCATAACCCATAAAGTACTTAACCGAAGGGATACCCCGGAATGCTAGACTACAGAGATGGGCATTAGCTCTATCTCGCTTCCAAGTCACTGTAATGCATAAATCAGGAGCTAAAAACGCCGATGCAGACGCATTGTCGAGGATCCCTCACGAATGTGTAAATGACCAATAATCTGAACTAAATTGAAGAAAAAAAAGAAACTATTGTGGGTATCAAATTTTTTTTTGTGTGTGTTTGTTTATTATTGTTACTCTAGAAAAGATTGTGTTATTAGGGTATATTAGTAAAAGAATTATTCATTACAGAAGTGTCAGAGAGTTGATATTGTAATGTTTTGTTTGTATTGCTATAGAAATTTGGACATGTGCAGTTTTTATGTTTATAGGTGTTAAGTTTTTTTTTTTTTTTTTTTTTTTTGCTGCTCTCTGATTTTACTGTGATTACTTGTGCTGTGTCCCGGAAAAGAGGGACTACCTGGTAAGTGCCAAAATAATAAGGGTTTCAAATTTTTCGACTCAGTCGTAAATATTTACAAACCAGAGGAGGAGGCGTGAAGTTCCTTCCCCCTGATGAAAGACGAAGAACGGAAGTGACCTACCCTGGAAAAACCGGTCGAGGCAGGCTGGTGGGGGGAAAGACTGGACTGCTTGGCACTTGGCGTTGGACCGGCAAGCATGCCGAGTGGAAGTATAGAGAACTAAAACATGTTTTAATTTCTTTTGCGCGCCTTGTATATATATATCGTATATAGTTTATTTTACAGTGTATTCGTTGTATGGTGTATCAATAGTGCAGTATGTGTAATAAATTAGTGAAGAAAATGTCAAAGCAGACAAGTGTTATTTTCCCATTATTGGTAAATTCACACAGAAGAACCCACCTCGTGTTTGAACGAGCGCAAGGCTTGACACATTCCATCCTGGAACACACATAATGCAAGTTTCCTGATGTCTAGATGCTTCATTCATGGTGCTGTATTTTGGATGGCTAGCAATTTATGCTCCAAATTTTCTTCAAATATGCCTAATTGGAGAAGAAAGATAAAACAACTACAGGCTCTGTAGTTATTTTACTACAGAAATTGTTAGTTTCTTTCTTTTTATGGTAATGCTTATTTTAAAGCACTCTATAATCCACCAAATAACTACCTGAACGATGAAATTTTGTCCGAATTTCTCCCGCACGACAAACCTGTTATGTATATGGATCGATTTCTTTCATATATCAGCGACATCTTTAAAGAAAGCAACAGAAAAAGGAAGAAAAGGCATATCACTTGGACTTCAGAGTGGAAAAGAGAAATTAATAAACTGAACCGATAAATTAAAAAGCACATTAATGAATTCAAAGTTGAGCTTCGGGAAAACAACATATTGAACCTTGATGTTAACGACGGCTCTTTTGGGGCTCAATACGATAAAAAAGAATCCTACTTGCAATCGACCTATTTTTATAGAAAATGAAGTAGCGCACTCTAATGATGCTAAAGCTAAGATCTTTTCGAAATACTCTGAGAGAGAGTTTACACCAAATGCCCCGCCTAGATATATTAACTTCACTAATGAAGTTTATTATACAGTCAGGGACTGGCCTTCACTGCGAGATCAGAACATAAATGAAGTTCAAAATTTAATTAGGAAATTAAAAATCAGAAGGTCTATGGTCACGAAAATATCCCAAACACTCCGTTCAAAAAAACCTACCGTTCAACATTATTACTAGATTCACCAGCATATGTCTCTCAAATTCTGACTTCCCGGACCAATGGAAATTTGCTGAAAAATAATATTAATGTCTAAACCAGGCAAGGACATAACAAACCAAATTGTTATCGTCCTATATTTACCTGCCTAGGAAAAAATTTATGAACGAATTATACTGTAAAATCTACAGCTTTATTTTTCACTTTTGCCTAAGGAAGAATTTGTTTTTAGGAAGGCACTGACTACAACTAAACTACTTTTACGCTTGATTGAATTTGCGGGCGCAGCTCTTCATAATAGAGAAAATGTTGCCTTACTGATGGAACTCGCTCCGTTGTTAACACTGGAACTCACTCCGTTATATCCAAGTTAATAGGTTTAATTACTTCATAATTAATTTATTGTTATTTATTAAAATAATTAAAGATTAAAGTAATTAATTACAATTAAATAACATTAAAGAGATGAAAAAAATTTAATAAGCGATTTTATATAAATAATTTTATTGATAAAAATAAAATTTTCTAGATCAAATTTCTACTGAAGTAATTGTTCAGTTACATACAAAAATTGCCGGAGCCTTCTCATTTAGGGCTCCGGTGTGCTACGGATAGAATTAGAATATGTCTCAAAAACTAAGAAGTACAGGAAATGGGTTCCTGTAGGCTCCGGAGCAATTTAAGCTTTGCAAATATTAATTATAAGAAGGAAAAAAGCTAGGGTCAAGACTACTCAAAAACTTATATTTTTTAATGAAGTTGTACTACCTAAGGTCAAGAAAATTAAGAATCCAAGTGTTAAGTTTAACACAAAATTAAAACGGAATGATTGCATAAATAATGCTCAAAATAAAGCAAGCAGAGTTAATAGTTTACTTCCATTAACTGGCAAGTATGGACCTTAGAAAAAAAGTCTTGTTTACACGTCAGTCATAAGACCAATTTTACTTTGTACCTCATTTTCAGGGACAGCTGCTACACACACACACACACAACACACACAAAAAAAAAAAAAAAAAAAAAAAAAAAAAAAAAAAGAGCTGAAATAGCAATATAGCTACCCACATTATTACCAAAGCCCATTACTATATTAAAAATCAAACGCTTCAGGAAGATATTATATTAGACACTATTGAAACATATTAGAAAAACCAACAAATATTTTATAATAAAGCACCCTGTTGTGAGCATTCTAAGCTCTTTCAGTCTTTTCAACTACATAATATGTAATATGATTCTAACTTTTTTTCTTCAAAGTGTAAAATTTTTACTAGCCTGCAATGTAATTATTCATTTAAAGTTTCTAGTAACTTAGGATTTGCTTTTAATTTCTTTTCTGTCACCACTGAAGTAAATCTGACCCTTGTAGTTTCTGAGCTGTCAAATACAAATGCTGAATGAACAGTGCGTTCAAAAACGTCTCTCTCTAGAGAATGTAAGAACTTTTAATTGTCAGAAAAGCACTGAAACTTTTACTTGTGGCATTGGAATTTTGATAAGGATGTCTGATACAGACATGAAAGAGGCTAGACTTTCACTTCAACAGAGATGTCTATCTTGCAGGCCCTATAGTAAAGGTGACGCATGTCACATTCCCACTGGTTATTGTTTAGAAAATTGATTAATTGTTCTGTCGAGTGCGGAGTGATACAGGTGTAGGATTTTACGGGGGGAGGCAGTACCTACTACATACATGTAAGAGGTACTGGGGGAGGCAGGCTGTTGTTTCTGATTTGCTCTGACATAGCCCATAAAAAGACCATAGGACAACGTAAAGTCTGCCAAGAAGGTCGGGCTGCGCTCACCACACGACATGACTGGTGCATGTTACAGTGTTAACAACGGAGCAATGAGTGGCTTTGGTGCAACGAGTTTTTTTGCTTGTGACCACTATACAGGACATATAAAATAGTTATCTATTGAACATTTTTCAGATACTCTTGCTGCTCCCACGTAATTTTAATGGAAAAGTTTTGTCCGTCAGGTGGCCTGGCGGACAAATACAGAAGCGGTAGGCCTGCTGTTCTGACCGAGGAAATGCTCAATGATGTTACATATAAAATATCGCGCAGTCCTTCAAAATCTTTGAATCAGTCAAATCTATAAAAGCATTATCAGTGCCTATACTTCATGTGCGGCAGTGAGCCACAAGACTGCTTCAATCCGCTACAAGGCAGACGTTGTCCAAGATGACAGGATCATCTCGAAAGTGTCCACCAAGATTGTCTTATTTATCAGACAGAATTCAACGTTGCTCATATTTCATAAAATCAATAGACCACAAATCTTTGTTTCTTGTGTTAATAACATATGTAGGAGGACTGTTTGTATCAAGCTCCTCCAAACATCTCTTTACTGCGGACAGACTTTTGAACACACTGTACAATATTTTTATATATTCAATGTATTGAAAAATAACTTGAATCTTGAAGGTTTTCCTATTTTGTATATTTACACTAAACGCACCTATTAAACTAAAGAACAAAGTGTATAAGATCTTACCCTCTGTAACGTAACATATATAAGATATCTTCTTGTGAATTTAGAATTAAAAACGACATTTTTAATACAAATAAAAATCATACGAGCTGTTTGGAATATAAACTAAATCAAAGGATTTAAGTCAATAAATTTATGCATTTTGATGGAATACTATAATAATTTATTCAATAAAATAGTTTTTTAGTTTGCTAAAATAAACTACCGTTTGTTAAATTTCTAGTGAAATTGTTAAAGTTTGAAATAAAGTTCCTCTATCTTTTATGCTATACTCTAACTATACAAAGAAAGGGAACAGTAAAAATTTATCCCTTAATTTTCTTACTGTGTTATTATGTTTCTTGCTAGACATCATTACGATGATTTGCGAGCATTTATTATCATTTACAGTTGAAATATGTTGCTTCATTAATATAAACACAAAAGAAATAAGCAGAAGTTTTAAAATTTGACACAAAAGAAATAAGCAAAAGTTTTAAAATTTGAAATTCAGTGTTACTGACCTATGAACCGGGCTCTTTTCTTTGACTGCAGTAATCACCGGCACATAGCGAGATTTAGTATAGCCGATGGTGAATCCGAAACCTTCACCTCTGTTAATTAGTTTCACGTCTAATACTTCAGGATGTCCTAAAATGAAAATGAAAATACTCGTACATTCAGAACGAACAATAATCTTTGTAAGGTTAAGAGGGATAATTCTTGAAACTTATATTTCAGTTAATGAGTAGACGGGAAATTCTTTCCCATCGTTTATTCCTAGAAATGTTGAATTTGCCTTCGATGAATCCAGCATAATCGCCTATGAGTATGTCATGTTTAGTTCATTTACAGAGGTTAAAAAATAGTTTCCTTAATCCATAAACAAAAAATATTATGAAAATTGCAAATATTTTTGGGTCTGTCAAGCCAAGCTCTTATAGCAATAACCTTGAAAATATCCGAAAAGAAATGATTTCGTGAGGCCTCTCTAACTGCATGTAGCTCAGTAATTATATTTATAGGAAACTATTTTAAACCGAATCACCATGTATATGGAACTCGGTAACTGAATCTAGAACAAATTGTCAGTATTCATTGCTCCTATTCATTCGGACTTAACTTTGGTATTTTAAAACACCTTCATTTTAGCTGCTTCCTCATTAATCAATTCTTCGTTAATCATTATTAATTTTTAAATTATGAAAATAAGGTATTAGAATTTATGTAGTAAAATTATTTAAATTACAAGAAGGCAATGTACTAACCTCTATAATTCTGAATACAGCCCTGGGATAGATTTCATCAATAACCATGACTGGCGTCAAAAACGCCTACCATTGATCTGAATCCTTAGCACCTGCAACGGTACACAATCGAAAGGCCTGTTGTCCTGAAAATGGAAACTGGAAAACACCCTATGACACGGTATTCAAGGGAATTGATTTCTCTTCCCATACCACCAACTCTTGAAGGAATTCGACTGATTTTAAGTTCCCTTGTTGCAAGTACATTATGTATTACAAACATCTGTACCCTTTTAAGTATTCGAACCCGAATTCAACAATGCTGTAGCTAGGTTTGCTAATTATTACATATTCTAAAACAGGCGTAAAGTTTATTATATTAAAACCTAATATTTGATAGCTTTCCATTAATATGCTTTTGCCTCTATGATGAGGGGGAAAACCTATTATATATGCACTTGCTACAAAATCAAAAATGAGCTTTTAGTAATGATTTTCTTTGGTGATGATTCATCAGGGGTGATTATTCTGTCAGATCTTTCACAATGGCTAAACTGTAACTATTGGTACAGATTACATTTCATTATTATACCCAGATTTAAAAATACAGCTAACACGTATTTTACATGCTAAATATATGGAATTTTTATAAGTTTTTGAGACAGTTTCAATAATTGAATGTACAAAGAGGCAGGAATCATTGATCTACACCGTCTGAAATAAGAACGAATGCGACGTTTTTACAGCACCTTGATCATATTCGATGCAAAAACTTTGTATTACCTGATAAATGTCTGAAAAGTAATCTAGTTCAAGCTTATTGGACCAACAAAAGCACTGTTTTGTGAAATTTCGAAGGCGGTAGTTTTTACATTTCAGCGATAAATTTTGCATTCCTCTTCTTAGATCTGTGACATCACTATTAAAAAAAGGATATGAACGATATATCTTCAACATTAGAAAAGAAACACCTTACCTTCCTAAATAATTTTTTAAACCGTTATAGACTTATATCGTATGTTCTTCAGATCGTATCTATAAACCCGTGTACATCAGAGCTTTAAATATGTAAAATAATTTAACTTACATTATTTTTGAGGTTTATGAGTAGGATTTTAGTATTTTTTCATTCCTTTTATAATAACTTTTTTAAATGTTCCCTTCACTTGTAAGCACTTTCTACCTGTTTTAATGCCAAAAAATATTATAATGAACTTAAAAAATTAAACAATTTTCCTTATTAAAACGAATAAAATATCTGAGATTTTTTCATTTCACAAAAAATCAATAATGAATACTTACTTCTGCTCTCTCGGGTTGATACTTCTAAAAAAACATTGTCATTAGATCTCCAATTTTCTTTCGTTAATATCGGTGCGCTTGGAGATGAGCCTTGTGAAGCAGAAACCTGTGGATTACTCTTGATATCTGACGAATTTCGACCACTGTCATTCTTGGCAATCGTGGAAGTATTGCATCGACTTAACAATTTGTTTTGCGGGAATTTCGTTTTCAAAAGGAAATCGGTATTTGTAGGCTCTATATCTGTTTCAGGTAAAGCAACAAAGCCTTTGTCTTCTTGTAGTTTCTTTTCCTGCTGTACAGCATAATTCTTTGAATTAGCATTTATATGTGAACTGTCTTCATACGGATGAGAAGGTTCAGAATTAGATACAGTGAGTTTTTCAGTTGGTGAATTGTGATTAGCTGGTCTAACCTTCGTTGTTTTAGACGGAAACATTTTGCCATTTGTCTCCCCTATACAATTCCTTAATGTATTAGTTTCTTTCTGTAGTTCTGAAGTATAAAAATGTGCTCTTTTGTCCTTTAAATTTATATCAACAGATGGCATACATTGAACCTCTGCAGAAATTTCTTGAACAAGTGCATTGAATTCCTTCCCTGGAATGCTGGATTGTCTTCTAGGGTTCTCAGGGCCTAAGCGTCTAGGATGGAAAGTGGCGTTATGATAATCACCCTCTATACTTCCATTTCCTTCGCTGACAGAAACTAAGGAATACTGGCGATTTGAACAAACTTCACAAGGAATTTTATGCTCATTTAAACTACATACTAAGACTTTAATTATTTTCCATATATAGGAAGACTCATCTTTAAGGGACAGCACAAGAAGTATTTTCTGGACAACAGCAAAGATAAACAGAACTGTCTCACTACATTTATGACAATTCAAATCCACTTCCGAAAGGCCTCTCATTTGAATATCAAATGACTGCTTAGATATTGCTTTATTTTCTAATATATCAGCTAGATTGTCTTTTAAAGTGTTAATTACTTCATGTCTTAAGCACCGATGTTTTATCAAATCAATTTTAAATGAAAAATTGTCGTTACAACAACTAGAATGAGTTACCAATTGTAGAACCATGTCTCGAAAATTATGAAATGTTCGAGCGCATAGTGAATTCAAATTTAGCAATTCGCTTTCCAGATGTAGGCACAATTCTGGTTCAATGCCACATGCTCGAGATTCGCATGCAATTTCTCTATTATTTGCAGTTTTGATAGCAAGCTGTGATAGAGACGATTTTATGGTTTTCAAGGTTTTAACCCCATCATGCAAGAGAGAAATAAAACTTGTAGTTTTGCTTTGATCCGCACTCCTCTGCGCTACAGATATATTACTACACACACCTGAACATCTGCTTGGGTGCAAAATATTTTCCTCAGCACTCAGATTCTTACAAGCATCTGAAGAGATATTTATACTTTCACCTGAAATTGCAAAATAAACTGTATTAAAATATACCATGATTATGTGAACAAAGTTATTGCACTTTGCGAGTCTTTACTAATGCTTTATAATAATACGAAAGATGATAAATTAGGATAATCTGTGTAATTCCCTGTAAAATCCGCTATATAAAAAGCAAAGTATTGAACCTAAGATTTAAACCTTTATAATAATCATTAAATATGGAATAAATAATAAATGAAATTATACTCCCAGAATACTCTACTTACCAGCGTAATTTTTAATATTTAACTAGAATTTTTTAAACTTGAAAAGGAGCCACATTTTTAGGAATGAAAAAGTTAATGATGTTTCATAATAAAAACATTTGTTTTTATTTTGACAAAATTACATGATTATTTACATCATTATAGGGAAGCATTGATGCTGTTCAAGTATCAACAAAACAGTATTTGATAATTCATAAAGCAAAGTTTTAAAAATATAAAACATGAGAAAAGTTTGAGGGTATACATAATTTTAACAAAACTGTTACGCCATTCGCTGCTCGCCGAAAGAGCGCGCTTCTTCTATTCGCATAAAGCTAAAAATAATTTATTTCTACTTTTAAATGAATGAAGTTTTCTGTGATTGTGTTTCAGAGATGTGGCAACATGCGATTATTTTTATTGTAATTGTGTTCTAAAGATATAAGTGAGTTGTGTTTCCAGTTTGTACGTTGGAGCAAAAGTAAACATTTATGTTATTTAGTATGTAGAGTTTTGATTTCCAGCCTATTCCACAAAGAGGTGAACAGAACATTTTTGGTATCAGGAAGTGGAGTAAGGTGAAAATGTGGTAGTAATAATGTGTATCATCAAATTTTGTGAGAAAAAAATAATGTGGTGATATGGGAATATATGTTGCACGGGAATCAACAGTGAAGATGATGGTTCCCTTGTGCAGATTATAGTGAGTAGTTATTTCGATTTGTTGTAAATAATGTTTAGTGTTAAATTCTATTTATTAGTGTTATGTGTTGAGGTGTTCCTACTTGATAATTTGAGTTAATAGTGTCTGTGTTGAGTTTGTTGTGTTCGTTTTGTGCTTATTGTGTTCTAGCTGCCAACTCAGGGTTGTCGTATTTTTCTTCGAATTAAGATGAGTCTGCAGTCGCTTAAGTCATTAAAAAAAGACGAGTTGATGCTCATGGTGGAGGAGTTGGGATTAGTAATTCCGAGCGGAGCGAAAATTGTTATTTTGAAAACTTTAATAGAAAGTTCAGAAGTTTATGCAAATGATGTTGAATTTGTGCAAAATGTTATAATATTCTAGAGGAAAAGAAAATGCAATTTGAGAAACAAAAATCGGAAAACGAAATTAGATTAGAGTTAGAGAAAATAAAACTTTCTCAGTTAGAGGCGGAATTAGCTTTAGCTAACACTGGAAAAGACTTAATACAAAAATCCAAATGTTGGGACAACTCAAATCGAAATATGAAAAATTTAATTAAAAGTGTAAAAACATTAACAATTTCTGTACCTACTAAAGCAGAATCCTTTAATCTCTTTTCCAATCAATTGAAAAGGCATTTAGGACAAAACAAGTACCTGAAGATTTAAAAGCAGAAATCCTATTAAATATTTTGGGAGAGAAGGTCACTAATTTAATGGTATATGTGAAAGAAGATATTAATAATTACGATAAAGTAAAGTCTATGATTTTAAAGGAATTTCAACCAACCCTTCAAGAGTGCTTAAATCACTTTCGTTCTACGCAAAATTTGTCATCTGAGAATTTTGTACAAATTTGCATCAAGGTTAAGTGCAAATTTTGAATATTATTGTCAGTTGAGAAATGTAAAAGATTTTAAATCGTTATGTGATCTAATGGTTCCGGATAAAATATTCAGTGAACTTGATCGTGAATTAAAGACCCACATAGCAGCTAAACAGGGAGAGACATGGTTCGAACCCCAAACTTTAGGTCGTGAATGCGATATTTATTTGCCATCAAAAGGTAAACAAAAACCAGAATCCCTTTTTGCAAAATCATTTACAGGTAACGATAATAAAAGAGGCGACTGAAATAATGTTAGTAAACTTCGTAATTATAATTACAAAAATATTTCTAATGTATATGTATCTGGAGCAAAAGATCAAAAGTGTATTTTGTGTAAAACTAATCCAAACCACCCGTTACAAAATTGTCCTAATTTTAAAAGGCTTTCAGTAAATGAGCGTGTTGGAATTATTAAGCAAAATAACCTTTGTTTCAAATGTTTTTCTTCGGAGTGTAATGAGAAAAAGTGTCGAGCCAGAAATTGTTTCTGTGGGAAAGCTCATCATTCTATGATTCATTTCTATAAACAAAATAAACCTCTTTCCAAAGTAGAGAACGGCGGCGCCGAACAAACTCAGTTGAATTCTTAAGTGTCATGGTCAAGCCGAATACATAAATCATCTGTGCTGTTATTCACTTGCAGTGTATACGTTAGCTCTGTTGATAAAACAAAATTCAATAAAGTGACGCGAATTTTATGCGATAATGGCTCTGAAAGAAGCTGGTGTACGAAGTCTCTTGCCAATTGCTTAAAATTAAAATCAGTTAGAAAGGAAAGGTTGTCACTTTTTTCCTTTGGCTCAGCAAAGTCTACTGAGAAATTATATGAAGTAGTAGAATTAAAATTATCTAGTAGATACAACCCTAATCAGTGTATTCAAATTGAAGTACTAGTGTCCGATACTATTACAGCAGCATCTGTTTCTGTTCCAAATAAAGAAGTACAAAATATTACGCAGTTCTGGGGATTAGTCTTAGCCCACTGCTGTGACAGTGATATAAACATTGAGATATTAATTGGGGCAGATGTGTTTTGGCAGATTATTGAAGCCTCAGCTTTCGAAAAAAATAAACCGGAAAATTACTTGCGTGTCAACGATTTTCGGGTTTACTTTACAGGAAGTCAAGATGTTTACAAGCCAAATGTTAAGACTGCAGTTTCAGCGAATATTTGTGTAGCCGCTTCAGATGTTCAGATATTGTGGGAGCTTGATGCTTTAGGAATTAAAGAAAAAGAAGAGTTAAAAGTACTTGATAAAGCGCTGATAAATGAATCTGAGAAAAATTTAAAATTCGTGAATGAGAGATATGGAACTGATTTATTATGGTAGTTACGATGAATTAGGAAATAATTATTTTTTAGCTAAAAAGAGGTTTGAGGAGTTAGGAAAGGATTTTTCTAAAAGTGATTGGGTTGCTGATGGGTATAGGGATATAATAAATGACCAAAAACAAAATGGAGTTATTGAGGAATGTGAGAGAGATGAGCATGAGTATTTTATGCCTCATAGAGCAGTTGTTAGGGAAGAGAAAGAAACAAGTTCGTATAGTTTTTAACTGCAGTTCAAAATTTAAAGGTAATTTTTCTTTAAACGATTGTTTGGAAATTGGCCCAAATTTAAATCCAAATATTCTTGATGTGATTCTAAAATTTCGCAATTACAAAATAGCGTTTAATGGTGATATAGAGAAGGCTTTCTTAATAATAAAAATTTCTAAAAGGGATAGAAAATTCTTAAAATTTCTTTGGTATTCAGATAACCGTAATGAAGAATATAAAATTATGAGAATGAAAAGACTACCCTTTGGATGTAAAAGTTCCCCTTTCATTTTGAGTGCTACGATAAAGTATCATAAAAAAATTTGAGAAAAGTAAACCGAAGTCCTTTGAAATGTTAAATTCATCACTTTACGTAGAGACAGTGTGAGAGAATCATTTGAGTTGTCGTCGGATGCTGTATCAATATTAAAGAGTGGTGGATTTAATTTGAGGAAACTGAAGTCGAACAGTAGAGAATTAGAAAAATTGTGGATAGAAAATGGACTTAGTGACAGTGAGATAGTGGGAGTTCAACAGCTGAAAGTCCTAGGGTTGAATTGGAATCCTGATAGAGATGAATTGTCGTTGGAGGTGAAAGGTTTGGTGGATTCGTGGAAAACGTTGCGACGCACTAAAAGATGTGTTTTACAGACAGCTGCAAGAATCTTTGATCCTATTGGTTTGATTGCGACCTTTGTGATACGTATAAAGTTATTGTTACAGGGAATTTGGGAGAGAGCGTGTGATTGGGACGAAGAGTTGCCGGAGGACTTGCAGCAAAAGTAGATAACGTGGTGTAACGAAATTGAAAAATTAATAGACGTTACTATTCCGAGATATTGTTTTCTGGATTGTGAGAATGAGCAATCGGAAGTACAAGTGTTTGCGATGCTTCATCAAGTGCTTACAGAACTGTTGTTTATATTTTAGATATTGTGAGAATAATGGGAATTACAGAGTATCTTTTATAATGTCGAAGAGTGTCACCGTTAAAGAAACTGACGCTGCCACGGTTGGAGCCTTGGTAATAGGTGCTAGAGTGGGAAATTACCTTAAGAGTGTTTTTAAGGATAAAATTGGAAGAATAGTGTTTTGGAGTGATTCTTGTATTGCGTTGCATTGGGTGAAGGGAAATGCGAAGAGATGGAAACAGTTCGTTGCCAACCGGGTTATGGAATTTCGGGAAAGATCGAGTCCAAGTGATTGGTATTATTGTCCGTCTGACGATAATCCCGAAGATTTGCTTACTAGAGGAATCTCCGCTGAGAAGTTGGTACAAAATAGTGATCAGGTGCAATTTGGCTTCGAAAGAGTTTTGAGAGTTGGCCTAAACAGTGGGTTAGAGAGTTACCAAACGTACACAGTGCGAAAATACTAAGAGAGCAAAGAAAAAATTCTGTCAAATGTTTTGTATTTCAGTTGGAATTAGTTGAGCAGTTTTGGAACAAATTTTCAGTTTGGAGTAAATTGCAGAGAGTTGTTGGTGTTTAAGATTTATAAGAAATGTGAGGGGGAGTAGGATTTTGACTCCTTTCTTAGAAACAAGTGAACTAAAAGAAGCGCATGATATTATAATCAAACTAGTCCAAAGAACTGAGTATACAAAGTAAATAACTACTTTAGAGAAAGCGAGAGTGTTAAGTTAACGAGAGTGTTAAGTTCTTTAATTTCTCAAAATCCGTTCTTAGACAACAGTGGCATACTACGTGTAGGAGGACGTTTAAGAAATGCCAGCTTACCAGACTCTGTGAAACATCAAATAATATTGCCTAAGAATCATCCTATTACAAAATTGTTAGTGACATTTTATCACCTTAATTATATGCACGCAGGAGTACAATTAGTTAACTCTGCGATGAAACAAAAGTATTGGATTATAGGAGCAAAAACTGCAATACGCAGAGAAATAAGAAAGTGTGTTATCTGTGCCAGATTTTGCTCTGAGTTTTCGAAACAAATGATGGCTGATTTACCTTCTGCGAGAGTGAATCCCGGAAGACCATTTCTTAGGATCATTCTTGATCAGCCCTAGTCATTGTAGAGGAGTTAAACTATAGAAAATGTGCATGTGTGTGTTTGTATGCTTTGCAACGAAAGCTGTCCATTTAGAACTTGTTAGTGATCTTAGTGCTCAGGCATGCATTGCAGCTCTGAAACGATTCGTAGGACGACGAGGAAAGGCAGCTAAAATATTCAGTGATTGTGGAACGAACTTTATCGGTGCAAAGAATTACTTAAAAGCGTGTACGATGGAGGCGTTTGGTACTTATTTGACCAACGAAGGCGTTAAATGGACAATGAATGTTGCATCAGCCCCTCATTTTGGAGTCCTATGGGAGGCTGCCGTTAAATCCATGAAGTTTCACATGAGACGTGTTATAAGATTGCAGATCCTCTCACAAGAAGAATTTTCAACGTGTCTAGTGGAGATTGAAGCCATACTTAACTCCCGTCCTTTAGTGACTGCTTCTGAGGACCCAAATGATTTTTCTGTCATTACACCGGGTCACTTTATTATCGGCTCCGAGTTAAAAAGTGTTCCTGAGCCAGATGTAACAAATGATAAAATTCCCATTCGCGAAGGTGGAAATTAGTCACACAAATTTCCCAATCGTTTTGGAAATCGTGGTCAAAGGACTACTAGACTCAGTGCAAGTGCGCAACGAGTAGAAACTTCCCATTGCTGATTTACGTATGAATGACTTGTTGCTAATCAAGAATGAGAACTTGCTCCCACTTAAGTGGAAGATGGCAAAAATAATTTGCACTTACAAGAGAACTGACCAAAGAGTAAGGTCAGAGGTTAGTCAACTTAAGAACTGTGTCGGGTGAAATGAAAAGACCAATACATAAACTGGTCAGACTTCCTATAAATGACTGATTTATTTATTTCATGTTTTATAATTATAGTTACAGTTTGTTTAATTTTTATGTGTTGCATTATATTTCAGTTATATTTCTAGTTCAGCTGATGACGAAGTCATGATATAAGTGAGTTATAATATAAGTGAGTTAAAGATATAAGTGAGTTGTGTTTCCAGTTTGTACATTGGAGCAAAAGTAAATATTTATGATATTTATGGTGTAGAGTTTTGATTTCCAGCCCATTCCACAAAGAGGCGAACAGAACAAACAGTATTTGATAATTCATGAAGCAAAGTTTTAAAAAATATAAAATGTGAGAAAAAAATTGAGAGTATACATATTTTAAAATTCACGATAGAAATTCAAGTGAATGAATTAGACATGAATATGTGAATAAATAAGTTATGTAAGAGAAACTCTAACTACAGCTTTATTTAGTTTAGATTCATTAATCGATTTAAACATATTGCAGTATCAAACATGGATACATTAGAAATACTAGTACATTAGAAAGTACAGTGATAGAATCTTATTTATTTAAGATTCGGTAACATAATTAATATTTGAATTTTAATTAACATTAGTAACTATAATTCTAGACAAAACACTATCTAAAATAAAGTGTACAAAGTAAAGTAAATTTTTTACATAAAAAATTGTCTTTTTCTTTAAGAAGCATTCTTTATGCTAATTAAGACATATGTAGTTTTTTTTTAATATAATAAAACGCTTAATTTACTGTCAATGTATAATAAATTGAATAAAAGCTGATTACACAGTGTTTTAAATGCAAGTAAAACAGATTGTAGAATACGAACTAAAGTAGTTCATTGTGTCTTCAGTCAGGACTCCTTGAAAAAATACATATTTCTTTAGATTAACCTTTTACATTTTAACTGGAATGGTGAAGCTCATAACAGCACTCATATAATTATACTGGCCATGTTTATTTTAAGGAAAAGTGTTTTGTCATAGCTTTTACATTCAAATGAATATTCATCTATAATCTTACTGCAACAATTTGACCTCGCTGTTAATTTTGTTAAATTTTAAAATTTACAGTAATTCATCTTTTTTTTTTTCAAAACATTAATACACAAGCCAAACAAAAATTTAATTTAATTGAAAATATACCCAATAAATTGGATTAAAATAGTTTAACTGTTCGCTGTCCGAATAGGTGTCAAAAGCAGATAGTTAACAATCGGTTTCCCGAAGTAGAAATACATTGGCTTCTGAAAGTTAAACAATAATTTTAAAAACCGCAATAACTCGGCTAAAAGTAGTTAAATTTTTTTTTGATCTGGATATGTTACCAATAAAAGCAAGCTGCGTCGTGTGGCATTAAGAAAACGAGTGACGCTACCATCGCTTTACGCAAATATGATATAGCTTAAAACCAGGAGTTTAGGAGGGAATCTCTGTTCAATGAACGGCGATATATTAAACAATTTTGGGACAGCCGGAGTATAAAAATGAGTTCAAGGCGACATTTTCCAACAAAATTGCGTTATTGAGTCATAATAGGATTACAAGCATTTGCACGACAGTCTGATATATGAAATTGGCTAAATGTTAATTGCTCTATGGTAAGCCCGTGTTGGAAACAGTTTCTAATTGCTGGTTTAGACTCTCCAAAGACCTAAAAAAGGTAGGCAGAGAAATACGATTTCTCAAGATGACCGTATTTGCGACTTACTGCGTATTGCAACAGTACTGTAACTCCACCTCAGCTTAAAATTGCACTCATTTCTCTTACAGGAAGGACAGTATTCACAAGGCTACATGAAATAGGTTTGTATGCTATGGTACCGGCACTGTACGTCCGTCCTACTTACCTCCCGACACCGGAGGGAGATTTTGATCTGGGCATGTAACTATGTAAAATGGACTAAAATCAGTGGAGGTCTGTTCTGTTCACTGACGAATCTTTGCTTTACAAAGTTTTTCTCGACTTGCATGGAGGCAAACAAACACCTAGTATCGTCTGTCTAACATATTGGAAAGGGATACCTATGCAAGAGGTAGTGCTCTTGTGCGGAAAGGAACAACTTTAGGTCGGCTTACATGGCTGTTTGTGCCGTTATATAGAACTCTGAATGCTTAGAGGTACAAAGACCATCTACTCCATCAAGTATGGTGCTGCAGTCGGCGATACCTTCATTTTGTAAGCAGATAATACCTTACTTTCCGCTGCTTTACTCGTACTCTTTTTTTTTTTTTTCTTGAAGACTAAATTACAGTCAAATTGGAAAGACCACCACGCTTTCTTGACCTATATCCCATTGAGCATGTGTGGGACGCTGTCGAGAGACATGTTGCTGATCTCCAGCTTTCTCTCCAAAATCCCCGTGGAGTTAGAACTGCTTTACTTGATCAATAAGCACTGGTACCCATGCAGCTTATTTAATAACATCATAAACAGTATGAGACATCGCTGTCAGGCCTGTATTCTTATTTAGTGAAATCATACTCACTATCGAGAAATTTATTTGCATTTAATTTGTTTACCGGAATTTAGAAGACAATATTTCTGTTGATATCATAAAATATAAATATACTTTATAACTTTTTTTGTGCTGTTCAGTAACAAGGGGTATATTAAATATTTTCACCAAATTTCGTCTATTTTGCTTGCCTGCGTTTTTAATTATCATCAGTTTTTAGTTTGTTGCTTTATTTTAAAAAACTAATGTATTTTAGAAAAGGGTTGTGCTGAAGCGGTACGCACTGGTTGAATTACCTTCATATTTTCTTTAAGTACTTCTATAGCTATCCTGCATAAATCAAATACCAAATAAAAATTATTGTATTTTAATTTATTTACATATTTATTAGCCATTATAGAAGGCAGTAGGATAGTCGAGAAAGTGATTAATAAGTGACAAAACAGTAATAAAAACTTAATTTCAAAACAGTAATATTTTACCTAAAATTTGTATATAATTTTTAATGACAAAACTTTTAAATTTTGATGAAAGTAAATGTGACACTAATAATATTAAAAATGTAAGAAACGACATGAAAGATTTCCATTGTGTATATGAAATTTCATAGTTTCTTTCTTAAGAAATTTAATACAATTTTTCAATTAATGTTTACTTCTTTTTAATGAAAGAATTTATATATGCAATTTTGAAGATAAGTTAAAAAATATTAAATTTTAACTCTTAAAATATACCACTTGGAATGTTTTCATTCCACTGTCTGCTGCTTTCTTCTACGGGGAAATAAAGCATTTTTCCAGGATGCTTCCTAAGGCGTTGGATCAAAGCGTTGACTTTTGTTTCTGTTAACGAGGCTATATCTGTGCCATTAACAGACAAAATAATATCCCCAACGTGAAATGCTCCACACCTATAAAATGGAAACGTTTTTAATTACTTAAAATATTCAAACATTATACAATTTAATACCGTATTACTACTTTTTCTTAGATCATTTCTGAGTAGTGATATCGGTGATTTATGTTTCTTATAGCAGACACGTAACAGATATAAATAAGAGATATAAAATTTTATAGTAAATAAAATTTCATTGGTTTGGATTATTCAGTGTTAATCCTGAAAGTATAAATAATCGTCAAGTAAAGGGCAGGCTCCTGAGCGTAAAATATAAAAACTTTATCCTAATGAAAAAAACCAAAAAACCTGTTAAAACCAAAAAGCGGAGTAATTCGTGAAGAAATGAAACTTACAAAATTTGCAAACATACCTGTGTCCGACTCGAGCTCTTCCTAAAATTAAACTGAGATAAAAAGGTAGAAAAAGGTTGCCAGAAAGTGATGAGTGTAACTAGAATTACAAAACAGTCAAATTTCACCTATTGGAGGGAAGAATGATACAGAAGCAAGTAAACGTAGTTTCGTTTTAGCCAATGGTATTGTCCGGCATTAGGGGGGGGAACTCCTTGGGGCCAACGAGATAGTATACCTGTTATATGAAGTCGTTGCTTGGGGCATGGAGTTAAGAAGTCCTTTCCTACCTCCATGCCTTGCGGTGAGGGTCGAAGACATGGAGGTAGGAAGTTAGATGGAGTGGCCCAAAACCGGTTTCCCCATACCCTGCTTTGAAGCACTGGCGATACCTTCTTTGGTAACCAAAACACTGGGTAATTTACCATCGAGTTCAATGGGTTTTGATAAGATCGGATGTAAATATTTTTGTAATTACGTCGTAAATATGCATATAAATGTGTATATTTTCTTTTTCTACAATACTTCAGAGCCCTAAGTATATGAAAAGAATACATTTTTTAACATTTCATTCTGAACGGAATTAAATGCTATACTTTTCACAGAACAGCTTGCTCAGAATGGTTTAATTTGAAATATTTTCACAAGTTTTCGTTAATTACATTAGAAAAAATTAAGGTAATTCAATTTGATTTGATTAAGGATTACAAAAATTAAGATCAACGTTTACTGTATTATTAAAATTATGCATTATTTCTTTTATATTTATAAAGCTTCTTCCTAAAATACTTTCTCATATATGACATGATGTTTTAGCTTCTTAGGCATCTTTTAAATCGAAAACTATAAGTCAATTTATAATTAATGCTCTATTCGGTCCATTTCAAATTAGAGCACTTTTTAAGTTAATAACTAAATACTTTAAATAGTACTTAACTTTCTCTGAATATTTCTGAAAGGGAACAAAATAACGATTTTTTAAAAATATTATTTAAAACATGTAATTGACTTACTATAAAATGTAAGGGGAATAATTCTTTTTAATTATACTTATTAGATTTTCTTACCCTTAATTTCACCAATACATATTCCAAAACTCTTCTTTATTACTTTCTTAAGTATGCATCTCATAGAAATTGCTTTACAATATCTTTTAACAGATTGCTTTCCAGTACGAACAATTTTTGCTTAAATAGCTTTATAACGTATTTGTCAAAAACGTCAATTTATGTTTACAATTCAATGTTAAGGTTATTTATATATTTAGATAATATTTATAATAATTATAAATTTAGATATATTTAATAATTAGATTTCTTCACAGTAACTTTCACAGTTATTTATGAATGAATAAATGCTTCATTTCAAATACATTTATAAATAATTTAATAAATATTTACGTATTTTGTTAAAGACAGATACATACATTTTGAAACACATGCGTAAATACCCATACATATTTCATATTTTTCATTTCCGGCATGTGGAAATCTTTAATTCCTGTGCATTCACTATATTTTTCCAGTAAAGTAATTTACACTAATTTTAAAAAGTACATGTTACAATAATATGTGGATGTGAAAAAAAAAGTATTTTATTTAAAACATTTTGGCGTTTTACTGTTGTATTAAGGGTATCGAAAAATGCATACAATTTTAAAGGTACGGTGAGGTATTTTTCATTCTTTAAGCATAACGTTTTTGCTAAAATCTATATTTTTGTAGTTCAACAGCTTAGAATTTTATAAAACAAATTCATAATCAAAATCTCTGTTGTTAGTTATCGAAAAATAACCAAGATGTGATTTTAAACTATACAAATTGCTATTATCCATCATACTAGGAATGTTTATTTTAGGCGGAAGTGTCCCGTTTTTCAATTTGTATGGAACTTGTCGTGTGTCGAAATACTATCAGAGCGCTGTCAAGCGAGCTTCTGAATGTAAACAAAAAACACCCCATCTGGGTGACCGAAGCTTCGGAGCAGTGCTTCACTTCTAATGCCGATTTCGCCAGTCCTTCCTTTCTTACCACCGTGGTCGAAGAAGGAGGTAAAGCGTTCAAAATTGCGTCGTGTTTAAGAAATTGCTAAGCGATTAGATTAACAAACAAAATGGCTAAAATTCAATGCAAATGCTAAACTGGCCAAAATCAAGTTGAAATGGAAAAAAGGAGAAATATATTAGTAAAAGTCCTCATTTTTCACGCTAATTGGCTACGAAGCGATTGTCGGAAAGGAAAAAGGCTCTTAAAATTAATAACAGAAAGAGTGGGCCAGTAAATCTTTATATTATGTAGTAAATACACTGATCTCCTGTGCCAAATTTTGTTCAGTAAAGATAAATTTTATAAATATACATAAACAGATTTGAAATTGTAATTTCAAGTTATTCATTTATTAAAGTTATATAGCTATTAAAAGAGATAACTTTAAAATATAAGCAAATATATAGCAGTTATACGATACACATTATGTTTAGAATCTTTTGACTTTTGTTAACAGAATGAAATTCTTTTAAGTATAGCATACATAAAACATATTTATTTTTCAAATTAGACTAAACTTAACGTAGTGTACTTGGATGGTTACAATTTTTTTTTTGCGGTACTATTTTTCGTTCCCTTTTGTGTAATCCTAACGAAGGAATCCAGAAATTTAGAGGAAGTCTAAATTAAGTTCTCAAAAATTCTAAATAACTAAAAGCATGATTTCACCTTTGCATTTACTTCGAGTTAGCCAAGTATGTTAATCAACAGAAAGTTCTCAACCGCAGTAAATTTCCGATCTTAGGAAGAGAAAATTTTGTTATAAAAGAGATTGTTTCCTTTTGGTATACAGGCGTCATGATTTTATTGTTCCGACCATCGAACTGATAACATTTGCTCCCGGCAAACATTGTTCCTTTTTAGTATTAAGCTATATTTGACCTTGGCAATAAGCCCCGTGAAAGAAAACCATGTATTACAATGGTTTCACTTACAAAAAATTTCATTTCAGAAACGTCCAAGTTCAGAATTTTCTACACTATTTCACAAGAGAGCGGTGTACACACCAGGGTAACTGGGCAGAAGGCTATACCCCTTATCGAACAGTTGTGATTTCATAATTATGTGCACACTAACAAGAAAAAAATACTCCATAAAATTTAGAAACAGATTTAGGAAAAATTCAAATTAATGGTTATATACAATGAGGTGCATAATAATTAATTGCCTACATAAGGTAGTACCTAATATATATGTTACGGTGAAACACCGAAATCTGGAGAATGTCGACTTTCACCGGTGAATGGCAACATTCACATAGTCTCTTGGTGTATGTCCGAAATATTTTCCAAATACTCTTATTTCTGACTTACACCGGTCAATGTCGACATTCACCATGTACTAATGGTGAACATATAACAATATTATATTTTCTTCTCCGTAATTCAGTCACGAATAAACGCACTTGAGATTTGAAGTAACAACATGAGAACCTAAAACACACAATACATTCAAAATGAGAAAGGAAAATAATAGAAGTTAAAAACTTACTTAATTATACAGTACGTTTTAAATGAGAAAATAAAATAACAGTTATAAAAAACTTACTAAATTATGTGATTCAAATCTTATTTATTGCAACAATTTAAACTATTATGGCACTATATGACCTCTCTTTTCGACTTACACCAGAGCATATCTGTGATTGTCGACATACACCGGTGAGGGTCTGAATATATAAGAATGCCCACCAGCAGCTAAGCGGTAAGAGCCGCTGAACACTGGTAGTTCGATCCGGGGTTCGAGTCCCGGCGAACGGGCTGGCTGCATGGGCATTTTCGTGGTTTTCTTCATGTCTCCATTTTCTCCAGGAATACGAGCCAGTTTCCCTTAAAAAGACCTCCAAGGGGCATCCCTCCCTTTCCGTGCAGTGTCTAAGGGCGGAGCACGTAATAAGCAAAAATATACAAGAATATAGTGCAATATTCGATCTTTCACCAACGTATTTGGTGAATGTTAACATTCTCCGGTGAAAGTCGACATTCTCCAATTTCGGTCTTTCACGGTAACATATATATTGAATTGATGAACTGAAATTCATTGAAATCGAAATAAATTTCCTAATACTTACGCAATAGTTGCAAAGTAATATAATAATAACTTATTTACTAAAGAAATTTTGATTATACTTTTAATTCAAAAAAGTGAGATTAAAGAGATGAACTAAGATAAAGTAGTTCCGTTAATTCAGAAGTCAAACAAACAAAAATCAGCGTTATATTTACAAAATTTTCACAGAACTAGTTTTGATGGTTTAGTTCTGCGAAAATTTTGTAAATATAAGGCTGATTTTTGTTGTTTGACTTCTGAATTAGTATTTATTCGGCGTGTTATTGTGTCTTAATTAGTTCCGTTAAGTTAATGGATTTTTAGAAATCTCGAGATACATTAGCCAAATTAAGTAGAAAACTATAAAGAATTCATTTTGAATGTAGCATTGCCGTTAATTTACCGGACATTTTAGAAATTTCGAGTTAATATATCTAAATTTAGTAGTAAAAATATTTTATTATATACTTGAGTAAAGTGTCCCCCAACACTTTCACATGCTTTCGTGCATGTTAATTCAAAACTATTTTCATAAATAGAATAAACAGCAGTTAATCTTTGCTATATTT